ACAGACGGGCATTAAATATACCCCTTTTCGCCAAGTGAACAGTGTATAAAAGCCGTGAAGTTCGTAAATGTTCTAGTTGCAACTTTTACCTATGACACTTACACATGGCATCTCGCCGAGAATTAATTATCTTAATTCTGCCCCAAAGAGTTGGGCGCTGGGGGGAAACTATTGTCAACTGCTGTTTGTCATTATGCCGTCAACAGGCTGCATCTGACAGATACTTTTATGCATTTAATTGCAAATGGGAACTGCTCAGCGAGGCGCACTGCGAGCTGCGCTCTGCGTGTTGCCAGTCGCAAGTTGCAAGTTGCCCGTTGCAAGTTGCCAGTTGCAAGTTGTGAGGAAACCAATTTCAATTTCATGCCACTCGGCGCCGCTCAAGTGCCACTCCACGATGTGGGCGACATATAACTCAGTGTGCTGTCTGCCTAGTGGGGGAAGGGGGGGGGGGCGGGCTTTGTGGCAGGAGCCTGGGGCTGCAGCGGCATCTGTAGACAGGCACTTGATGAGCTGTACTTTTCGGCTGTAGCCGAAATTGTGATGGCAGCTCTCAGCTTCAGCTTGAAATGAATTAACACAAAAATTAACTCAACAACAGCACCGAAAAAGGGGCCAAGGAGAGGGGTAATCCCCAAGTGTAGGCTGAGGAGGGGGCGGAGAAGTTGTGAAAAACAATTAATTAAACTAATGACTTGATAGAAATTTACAGAGTCCGCAGGGCGGGGCAGCAGGGCGAATGAATTGTAAAAAGCAACAATATATATTTTTTTCTTCCAAAAGTATCGCAAGATACGTTCCTGCTTGTTGTGAATGTTAATGGGCGATCCTTTGTAAGCGAGAGGTCCCTAATTTATCTTTAATCTTAAATACATTTTTTCTGCCATAAATGATGCAGCAATTTGGGCAATCTTTTGTAAAAATATATTTAGCTACACTTGCTACAGGGTAGCTGCTAGTCGAGCAATTGTCAGCTTATTTTCTTTGTGCCACAAATTATGCAACACTGTATTTTAATGGACAAAACTGTTTTAGAAACTATGCAGCACTGTGATTTGTAAGTTTTCGTACAAATACTTTGTAAACATGCAAATTACAGGGTAACTTTTAGTGTCAACATTTTAGGTATAAATATTTGAGTTGCCAGTTTTTGAAGTTTGGTCTTTTCAATAATGGGTATCTGCTAGTCGATCAATCCCGCTAGTAATTGTACAACACTGTGCTCTGAAAGTTTTCGTAATATTCTAGATACAAATTCTCGAGTTTCTGAAGTTTTTCAAAATATCAACATAAAATGTTCTGATTACAGAGTAACTTCTAGTCGAGCAATTTTAACTGGTGTTCGCTCAATATGCATGTGCTTTTTTTTTTTGTTTATTATTTGATATTTTACTTCAAGCGTCAGTTAACTGTTTTGAAGCACTGTTCGTAGCTTGAAATAATCGAGAAATTCGCTAGAAATGCCATTAGGCATTTGTTGTTCAACCTTGTAGCTGGATAATTCTTTATTTTTGCCATAGATACTATATAATATATATGGCGCTCAACTGAATACCAAATGAATTTGTTTGACTGTAATAATAATTAGCGTTCCGAGCACTTTTCAGCTGAATGTCGTCAATTGCTCTATTCCCCAACTGCGCAGTCTGCGATGCGATGCGATGCGATGCGATGTGGCGGCTGTTTGTCAAGTAATTTGCATAAAATTCTCAATATTATTTCTTGCCTGCATTTACAAATGTCAAATCAGACAAAACGTACAGCAAGTAATAAACTGGGAAATCAATTAAAATTGAAAAGTAATTAATTAAACATTAGTAGTCTATATAGTGGTTTTTTATATCCTTTGATCGGTCAACAATTAATTATATATCTACTGTAAGGCAGGCAGTTCAAATTGCGGGTTCAAATCCCAGACTGAGTTGTTATTGTTTTTATACGACTTGGTAAGTCGTAGGCCCCAATGAATAACAATAACAACTAATTTATTACAGTTCTCGTTAGGCAAGTGTCAGGCAGCTGCAGAAGAAGGTTGCGGGTTCAAGTCCCAGGCTCGTGGACAGATCTATGACCATCTATATATGGTTTATAATATATTAAAATATATATACAGGTCTTTTGCTGACTGATTAATTCATAGACAATTGAATTTATTGACTGACTTAATTAACGACTGACTTACTGATTGACTGACTGACTTACTGGGTGACTGATTGATTGACTGACTGAGTGACTCATTGCTTGACTGGCTGACTAACAAAAATATTCATTAACTGATTGATGGACTAATTGATAGATTAACTTACTCACATGCTGACTGATTGACGGACTGAGTTACTGTTTGTTTGACTGATTGACTGGCTGACTAACGAACTTATTGACAAACTGATTGACGGACTGAGTGACTCACAGCTTCATTAGGTGCCCAACTAATTGACTGTCTGACTAATTAACAGATTGGCTGACTGAATGACACACTGCTTGATTGACTGATTGATTGATTGAATCACTGACTAAGCGACTTGCTGACTGACTGACTCAATATTTGGCTGACTGACTCACTGACTGACTGAATGACTGACTTACTGCTTGACTAGCAGATAGACTGACTAACTGACTGACTGACTGACTGATTGATTGACTGCATCACTGACTAAATGAACGACTGATTATTCGACAAATCGGTGCAGCAAAGAAGGGTGATGCCTATATGCAAAAAATTAAATTAGGAATAATATTAACTAAAAATGTTCAAAAATAAACATTTTATGATGTTTCAAAATGAGATCTAAGAAATTTAACTATTTCTATATACTTAAAATTCCTTAATTTGCATTTATATAAGATCCATTTATTTTCGGGTACTTTTATAAAGTGTTTATTTGAAACGCTTTATCGAGCTTAACTCAATTCAACTGCATTTTCAGCCAAGTTCAGGGTCATTTGTTACATCTGGCGAGTCATGAATTTTAATGCTGGATTAATCCTTGAACTGCTCGAGGACTTTGCCCTAATTTTGCCATTTGGGGTTATTTATGTCGATTTGCATTGGACGCAAATGCTGGAACCAAAACTAAATGCATTTTAATTGTTGTTTTGCGTGCGGCCAACAAATCAGCGCCCACAATGGCCACACCCACCGGGGCCAGTGGCTGCCATCTACAATTTGCCAGCTGTCAGTCGCTGGCTCTCTCAATAAATATGTTTTTTTTTGTGCAGACTCACAAAATGCGGGCCAACACGCAATGTGAGCTCCCAAGCATGCAAATTGCACATACGCCGCGTGGCCTCAGCTCGCTCCAAATGGTTCAAGGGGGGAAGGGGAGGGGGGTAGAGGTCTCGTTAGAATTAAATGCAGTCCAGTTAGCTTGTCAGCGGCTTTGAAATTTAAAGCTGGGGCCATAAAGATAGCGCACAGCCAGAGCTTAACAATAAATACCATATAATTGTGGGCCATAAAAGTTAAGTTGTTAATTGCTCTGTTTGCTTTTTGGCTGCCTCTCTCCGCCCCCCTTTGGACGTGCAGCGCCGGGCATCGCGTGTCGATTCGAATGAAATCTTTGACGAGCTGCCAGTCCTTGTTCTTGTTGTTGTTGTTGTTGTTGTTGCGGGTGTCAATTCCCGGGCATATTTCATTAAGCGTGGCCCCAAAAACTTGGCCCGCAAAAACAATGTTAAATAATTCATTTCGCAAAAGCTGAAAGTTTTTGCGTGAGAATTTAGCCATATTACACGTTAACGCTAGGCCCAGCGAGGGAATGGGCTGGGGCTGGTTCCGACATGGCTGCGTGTTAAGCCGGAAATGAAAACTACGTTAATTGCCCGAAAGTATGCAAAGTATGGCCACAGTCGTTGTTGTTGTTGTTGTTGTTATTCTATCTATCGATAATAACTGAGCAACTGCGTCTGCCTGTCTACTATCTTAACCCCTGTTTTCCGCCTGCTTTCCATCAAGTTTTCCTGCAAAACTTTTCTGGTGCCATTGAACTCGGCTGTGCCCGGGGCCCGGCCAGCCATAATGGAAAAGTCGTGTACAGTAAACACCCATCGAATGCAATTTATAATTCTTTAATGAGTTATTGAGCAGCGGTCCAGGCATAAAAACAACCAAAAAAAAAAAAACCGCCAACTTGAGCAAAGTGCTTTGGGCGTATTACAATAAATGGTCTTCGAGTCCTTTGAATCCCACAATTAAATTAAGTAGGGGCTATTAATAACGTATTACAATATGATTATGAGGCATTTTCTGAACTAAGCTGGCAGATACTATAGTGTAAAAGGCATCTTAGCTTGCAAATTTAATGCTATAGAAATAAATAATAAATTGATATTTTTATAATTTAAAGGTTCACTTGAGAACAAACGATCATAGATCAAATATCCAAATTTCAGTGTTATAGTATTATAGGATTTTTAGATATTTTTAGACATATTTGAAACTTGGGATTTGGTCTATATAAAAATATATGAAAGAGATATATAAATCCCAGAGGAAACACATAATTAATACGAGGATTATCTTTAATATTTGGCAAAACATATTTAGCCGAAATTTTCTAGCTTCTTAGATTTCCATAATAAGATCAATACGATCCATATAAAGATGTTGTATATATACAGTTATGGATATGTTGATATTATATTGAGAGAAATAAACTCATATTATATAATGAAAATGTTTTTTTTTTTTCGATTCCTACATATTTGATTCATTTCTTTGAGCATTAGGTTTAGGATTTCAATGGAAGTCTGTCTTTGGACATTGTATCCATTCATTTTTCTAGAAGAATTCTGTTTCATTTAATCAGGGTGCTAAATTTTGATATAGTTTGTGATCTCATAGTCTACAACAAGCCACCGAGTTAACAGTTCCAATTGGAGCATGCCAATTGGCGCTCATCTGGGGTCAGTTTTCGCCCAGTCATGACTCATGGATCGACACATGCGCGAAAATTGGGGGGAAAAAATGCAGTCAAAGTAATATTTGCGGCTCTAATTACCATAACTATCATCGACGGCGGCATAGGGGGGCGTGGCATCGCCACTGAAACCAGTCGAGTCCATGGTGTCCCCGGCCACGGCAACGGCATGGGCAAAGGCCAACGTGGTTGCCGGAATCGCCGGCGGCTGATCCTGCTGCTCAATGGATGTGGGCAGCGTGGCTTCCGGGGTTGCGACTGCGGTTGCGTTGGGGGAGCTGCTGTGCGTGGCTAATGTGAATTCAGTCTCAAGTGTTTCCCAGCCGGAGCCGGCCGGCTCCTCCGCATTGACTAGATCCGCGACATGACGTGCCGTTGTGCTGTCCAGGTGCACATCTGTGCTCCGGCTGCTGGCTGCCGTGCTGGTCAGCGTGCCGGCTGTGCTGCCGTGTTGCACGGCAATGCTGCTGAAGAGCAACAGTTGCAGCAGCGGCAACTGCAGTGGGCGTGGCATTTCGCTAGACTTTGTTCCTCTCACTCTCACTCGTTTATTTTCACGTTGATTTTTGTGCGTTTTTTTTTCAGATTTCTTTTTGCGTTTTGTGCGCTTTTGTACCACTGTGCGCCGCGTTTTATTACTTGTGCAGCTGTTTTTTTTTTTTGTATTTTTTATTTGTTACAACATTTTGTGCAATGTATTTGTGTTCTAGCTAAAGTTTAGTTTAGTTGCTTAAATGATTTCCATTTTTGCACTGTCACGTAAATTGATAGAAATAAATATAAATAAATAACGTACTCAATTTTGTTGTTGTTGTTGCTTGTTGTCAAATCTGCGCTTGAAAAACTTTTTTTTTTTTGTTTTTTTTTAAAGATTCTAAAAAATAAAACAAAACTCGCCGCTGTCACTTTTTATGATAATTTATTGCATTTTTGCTATGCCGTTCGATTCTCGCATTGTTTTTGCGTTTTCTTACGATCGCCCTTTGTTCTCTCCGGCGCTTTCTTTTGCGGAGTTCAACGCGGTTCAATCTTTAAAGCACGGGGGCGTGGCACTGCAGCTGCAGCGCCGCATAAAAACCACATTTTGCCTCTCGCTCGCTCGTGTGTGACCATATAAATGAAAATTATAAATGTGCCCAGATAAGTAAAGAGCACAAAAATAAAAAAGAGTTTGTGAAGAGTTTGCAATAAATTGACGAGCCCAGCGTTGACATGTGTGCAACAGCTGGCGGCACTCGCAGACTGCTTCATGCCACATGCCGCAGCACAAAAAAACTGCAGCAAAAGCTTGACGATTTGATGAGCACGTCGGCCATAGCCGACACAAGAGTGCGCTTCAATGAAGCCATAGAATTCGAGTGCCTAAATATACGTATAAAGAATGTCCATAAATATGCCGACAATCGTAAAAGTTGAGCTGGCTTCGAGGTTGCATTTTATGCGAAAGTGATACAAGATCAGAGTCTTGACTAGATCCACACACAAGCGTGGATAATGGGTGAAAACCTGTTCGTTGTGACTTTTATTAGACTACAATCGATCGATGAGCTTTACAGTTATTTGCAAAGATCGATATTAAGTCACATTTGAGACTCGCTAAAGCGACTTTGCTGAGCGGAATATAAGAATTATTGAAAATTGTTAAATGTACTGAACGGATTGTCTATATGATTGGTAATCAAGGCACGCAAACGCGTGAAAAAAAGGTGAAACCTAAAATACTTGAAATTGTTGAAAAACTCTCAAGCCAAGCATATAGAATTGTAGTTCAATTGCGTATATGGTATTAAATGGGATTTTTATATGATTAGTAATGAAAAGAGGTTCACAATTCCACAGAAATAAGTGGAATGCGTTAAAAACGGGTTGTGTGTTGTCCAACTAAAAGGCGAAAACTTATTTGATTCATTTTTCAATCAAGATCCATATAAAATAGTAATTAATACTACAAATCCACCAAGACTGGTGAAATATAGGCGAGAATTGATATTTCATTCAAATTTACTTAAAAACTCTTTAGTCAAACACAGTATTATTTGCAGTCATTTGCAGTTGCTGAGAAATCAGTATTAGCTACACACATATGCCAGGAATCAGGTCAGAGTAGGTCTAAAGGTAAATGCTGTTGCCTGTCTGCCCAGCTGCCAATCCAGCTGGCTAATTACCCACAACGACTAAGCAAATCCAACAGCTGTCAATCATGCACACGGACTGCAGCAACTAATATGCCCCAAACCTCGGCAAGTAACTGCAGCGCAGTCAACAACAGAGGGAAGAGCAGCAGCAGCAGCAGCAGGGGCAGGGCAGGGGAGGGGATACAAAGTGCAAATTACAGTGGGCTCGTGCTGATTCATTCAGAGCTGCCCGGGCACGCCATGTGCTGGGGCTAAAGTGTTGCTCGTGACTGTTGAGCAGACGAGGCTAATTAGCAGCTCATCAAGCTGCAGCCGCATGCAAAAACGAAATGAAATAAAACTAAAATAAAAGTCAAATAAAAATAAAGTAACCCAACGAGCCGAGCAAGGTTACAAGTGCCCATCAAACATTAACAATACAAATAATAATAATAACAATAAAAACAATATTAGAGTAACAGTGTGTGACACATAAAAGGCAGACATACGCAATGGCAAATGCAGGCAACTTCTGGTTAGGGTATATCTATGGCCATAAAAACCGATATTGGGAAAACGAGCGCTCAGAAAATTGGTCAATCAAGCGACAATTGTTGGGCCTTTTATGGGCGACGATAAGTAGGCGAAGCTTATAACACAACGAGAGTGCTTTAGTCGCCGATGCTCGACTGGCAGATACCCTGTAAATCTGTATCCACAACTTAAATGCTCGCTTCTTAAATAACTCCTGGGTTTATTGTGCAATCGGTTTGAAATTTTTGGGATCCAAAGTTGAAGTCTTAAAATGTGGGTATATCAAAAATCAAGATAATAAGAGATAAAATATATTCTTGAGCTGTATATTCAACATATTCAACTAATATATAAGACAGCTGGTAGAAGCTTTATAGAGCTTTGATCAAAAATCGATGAGTATTCTTAAAAGGAAGAATAATTCATTAGTATGCAAACGATATAAGAAGATTAACTATTATGGTATATGTCGAAACCAGAATCGAGAGTGTCGAGATTGTATAGTCCCTTATAGAGAATTATAAGGAACAGAAGAACATGACTGTCGAAACTTTATTATTATCCTATTATCATTATCCTAGCCACACATGTTCCCTATGAACAGGGTATCGTATATATATTTAATAACAGGAAACAATAGTAATATCCAAAACTGTTTCGGGTCTGTGTAAATATTTGATAAACGGCGACTTTTCGGTTCCAATTTGCACAATTTGATAAGCTGAGTTTTGTTTTGTGTGTGTGTGTGTGTGTGTGCAAATTTAATTGAAAAATTGCCCACTGTTCGCTGTCAAGTGCAGAAAATAACTGAACGGACGCATAGGGCATGTGAGTGTGCGAGTGTGTGTGCGTGTGTGTGTGACCCATAAATAGAAATCATGCACACACGCACACACAGTCGAAATCGTGACGACTTTTTTATGGTCGTTGGCCGCTTGCCGAGATAAGCTCCATTATGCTTGTCATATACATAAATAATAATAATAGGCGACCCATCTGCGTGTGTGTGCGTGTGTGTGATTGATAAAAAGTGAACCTATTATCGTTTTTGGCAGGTAACAAATTTTATAGCTGCCCCATGCTGCAAACGGAAGTAGAAGCCGAAACCTATATATACATATATATCTATATATGTATAGTAGGCCAAATGGGCCTAAGCCGATTTGCCATTGTTTACAGAAATAACAAAAACAACTTTATAGAACCGTTCTAGAAGCTGGCGTATATATATGTGGGCGGGTCGATGCTGCTGTGAAAGTGTGTTAAAGTGTCTCAAGTGTCAATAAAAATCATCTAATTGGGCACTCAAGAGACTGGAAACGATATGACTGCAAATTGAGCTGATCTTATGGGTAAACAAGGTAAGAAAAGCTAGCTTCGAGTGCCGAAGATGAAATACTCTATCAAATATAACTTGCATACGATTGTAAGAGAATACTAAAGACAATAGAAATCTTAAAAACGCAGCTGTCAACAGTTAATTTATATGACAGCCTAATGATATAGTCAGTCGATCCGGTCCGTTTTAATATATATGCCTTTTGAGCTAAAAAGTAGCTTGTATACCAAATTTCCCTCAGATACACTCACAACTGACCGAGTTCACATAGTCGCGAGCAGCTCTCTATGCATTTCCAATAGTCTGGCAACCATTTCCGATAAGGGAGATGTCTCTAATGGGCGTGAGACTGTCCGATAACCCACATATTACCGCACTTGAGCCGCTTTCCGAAAAAAACCCAAATCAAATATACTTCCTATGCTTACAGCACATGGGAATTTTTGTTTATTTGTGTTCCGTTTTTTTTCCCTCCCTCTCTCTGTCTCTCTCACCCAGGTTAGCGGTTTTTATGAATGGCCCACATTGTGGGCTCGGGTTGTACAATAAATATGAGTTTGTATATCACAAAATTGTTTGTTATTGTTGAATGTTGTTAATTTGTTGGGAAAATAAACGTAGAATTGCCGAAGTGTGACTGGCAGTTCCATGGCTAAGGTCAGTGCACTGGGGATATGCATATGTATGGGGATGGATGCGCATGCACGGCAAAAAGGATGCAGGATATGCGAAAAATCAATAGAGCCGGGCTGGCACGTGGTTTCCAGAGTACCCGAAATGCGTAGACCCTTGTTTTTCTTAATTTTTTATCTGTTGTTGTTGCCAAAATGGCAATTCGCAGTGCGGCGAGAAAAGGGCGAACAGGGCAGATTGTCAACTGTAAATTGTGTCAACTAACTGTGCTTCGCTATGATATAAATATATTGGGCTATTTGTGTTTTTTCTTTGCCAGTCATTCGCGTTCTTTTGCTAAATATGCTAAACCATGGCGAAGTTGCAGGCGAGAGAGGGAGACAACAAACGCAAGCTGGGCTTGTAGCAAGCATGCGGCGCGGCAGAATGTCAACAAAACGTAACGAGCGCTCGCTCTCTCCTGCTCTCTTGCTCTCACTCGCTCCGCTGCCGCTCACTGTAACATGCTGCGCTCTCAATTCGCTCTCTCACGACTCGTTTTGAGCAAATTTGCCTGGCCTTTGGGCTGCGTTCTGTTTTTTTTTTTTTTTATTGATTTCTTGAAAGGTACACAAAATGCGAATAACAACAACAACAGCGCAGCGAACAAAGGCAACAACAACAAGATTAATGGGCGCACTATTGTACACTATATACACATGTATATATATGTATATAAATATATATATTCATATTGTTCTTTTCGCTTATTTATATTTGATTTTATTCACACACTTTTATTGTCATAACTTTTTATGGAAGTTGTAAATTTTTGAAATTTGGCACATATTTTGCTGCACAATGATAAATATAGTATTTGTATCTTTATTGTTTGGTGGCTGCAGGCCTTTGGAATTCATAACAATCCAACATTTGCCGCATATATATATATGAATACACATCGGATTAATCGGTTTGTAATTCGATTCAGTTCTTAATTTGCTTTATATGTATATTTTTTGGTACCCAAATTGTTCGCTGTTTGGCCGAAAAAAAAGGCGGCTGCTGCGCAGAGAATTTTTCCAGGCGTACGTACTATAT